GCTCTAAAATATAAAAAGTTTATTTATTTTACTTAGCAGCCACTTAATTTAAAAGTATTTCATATAAATTATTCTGAATATGCTATTCAGTTGTTTTTATTTTAAAAATAAATATATGTATATATATATATATACATATTTATATATTATATACATATATATATATATATATATATATATAATATATATATATATATATATATATATATATATATATATATATATATATATATATATATATATATATATATATATATATATATAGATATATATATATAGATATATAGATAGATAGATAGATATAATATATATATATATATATATAAATATATATATATATATATATATATATATATATATATATATATATATATATATATATATATATATATATATATATATAAAATATTTATTTTCAAAATAAAAACAAATATTTTTAAAAATAAATAGATTTTTTTCAGAATATCTAAAAAAGTAAAAATTGCTAAATGCCCATATTTAAATTTAAAAAGTGAAAAGCACATGCGGGAATCCCGCATGGCCTCTGGGGCCACCACGCCCCTGAGAGAAAGAGAAGCAATATTACCAAAATATATTCCTAAACTTGTATGTATGAAAAACTTTTGGATATCCAAAAAAACTAAAAGTTGAGAAAAATATCAGGAATTTCAAAAATATCCGGAAAAAGATAATCTATGATTTTGAAATTAAGAACTAATAATCAATATTTTATGCCCAATGGATGGAACTACTTTAATGTCCAGAAACACATAAAATGTCCCAAAAAGTATTTAAAGAATTCATCACTGGCATACAAATTGGCGAAAGTTATATGTGGGTTTTTTTTTCTGCGCAATAAAGAAAATTAATTTGCAAAGTATAAGAAATGCAGCAATGAGATAAAATCAAAAAGTGGTACTGTATACGCAGTAGGGTGGAGCTTATTTTTGAACTTTTGAAATATGATGTTCTTACCCTCTCATTTTGTTCCTATATATGAAAAAATAATTTAGGCAAAATATGAGAACAATTAAACAATATTTAGGGGTAGCTCAATGATGATAAAGTTTCGAATACTCGACAGCTGCGGTTTGGCTACACTTGATTTTTACATAATATTATTATTATTATACCAGAATAATTCTCATGCTAAATTAAGAACTTAATTTTAACTACAAAGCTAAATTGCACTGTCCTAAATCATCATATACTCCACAATTATGGTCTATACTATCATATTTGATCATTGACCAACCAATGCAATCATGGCAAATGGAAATAACCCAGATTCAGTTTTTTGCTGACTGTGTAATTTTTACATAAATCAAAACATAATACCAGACAGACAGGATCACTAGCTAGACAGACTTGTTTACTGCAATGCTGAGTTGCTGACTAAGCAACACTGTTAAAGCTGTATGCTTATTTTGTTTACTAAATAGAGGCATTGTTTTAGTTATTAAAATATAAATGGCAATTTAAGTTGAAATATTGTTTAAATAAATTTTCTTGATTTTCAAATTTAAAGAAGATTTCTATAATTTTGGTGTTGAGTTTCTTCTCTCCAGTACCTGATTCTCATCAATTGGTAAATTAAAAGATTGATATATTAAAATACCTTAACTCTTTGTGTCTTGTGAGTGTAAAATTGTAAATAGTAAATATATTAATAATTAATTAATTCTATATTATAATATGGACGTTAAACTGATAATGCTGATGAATGTGATGATGATGATGAGATAAATAAATGAACATAAATTATATGTAATATACAATATATTTTTAAAAGTAATTAAATAAACCATACAATACATGTTAAAATTTCTGACTTCAAATGGTCAAATTTTTCCAATGCATTTTTTATATTTATTTCAGATAAATATTCAATTCTGAATTATTGAAAATGTCATCTCGGGCAAAATTAACCAGATCTCAAACTGAGTTGTATCTACTTGGCAAAACTATTACTGAATTAACAGGCAGCAAGCTGCCATTTAATTCTTTAAAGTCTTTGGAGCCATTAAAAACTGGGGCATAGCTGACAGCATCCGTGCAATGTGTTTTGACACGACCAGCTCAAATACTGGTCGGCTTGCTGGTGCCTGTGTCCTCCTAGAACAGAAACTTGAGAAAGAGCTTTTATCACTGGCTTGTAGGCATCACATTATGGAACTGATAATTGGTGCAGTGTTCCAAGTGTGTATGGGAGCAACATCTTGTCCAGAAGTTCCACTATTCAAACGTTTCCAGCAATACTGGGGTTTCATAGACACGGCTAATTATGAGCCAGGGATTGCAACTGATGATGTCGAACGTCTCGTGGCTGACATAAAGCAAGACACTATCGATTATGCCAACAAGCATCTTGAACAGAGTCAGTCGAGGGATGATTATAAAGAATTCTTGGAACTTGTGATTATTTTTCTTGGTGCTGCTCCTCCCAGAGGTGTGCGATTCATGTCACCTGGAGCAATGCACCATGCCTGCTGGATGTCCAAAGTCATATACAGTCTCAAGATCTGGATGTTTAAGGCTCAATTTAAATTGACTCCTGCTGAAGTGAGAGGATTATGTGACGTGTGTGTATTCACAGTACGTGTCTACCTGAAAGCCTGGATATCTGCACCTCAAGCATCAGGTGCTCCTTATAATGATCTGCTGCTGCTGCTGCTGAAGTCACTGATTGAATATTCATCAATCCATTCAGCGATCTCAAAGTCAACGCAAGTTTTCCAATCACTTGTGGTATTTGTCACAGGAACTTGTTAGCTTGGCTTTCTTCGACAGTCGGGTCAGTTCATCAACCAAGAGACTGATGGTGAGTGCAATGCAAAATGAAGAAGACCAAGATCAGGATCATTCGAAGCGTATCACTGTTGATCCTGATTCATTCGGGAACAAGAACTTAGAAGATTTTGTCACAGCAAAGTCAATGAATCTGCTCCGAATGATGGAAATGCCATATGGATTTCTAACAGTTGATCTGGACTTGTGGGAAGACAGAGATGACTACAAGTTGGCTGCAGAAACAGTCGAGTCTTTAAAAGTTGTAAATGACCACGCTGAACGTGGAGTGGCCCTCATTCAAGAATACAGTGGATTTTTAACACGCAATGAAACGCAGCTGCAATTCCTGCTGCAAGTCGTAGAAGACCATCGCAGAATGTACCCTGATAGCAGGAAACAAACTCTGTCTGGGCTGCCGAAACCATGAATTTAAAACAATAATTCCTGAGTTTGCTCTGGACATTGTCAGGCTGATACCCTAAACTGTAAAAACTGAGCTTAGAACTCATATTTAATGTGTTTAAAAATGTTAATTATGTTGTTTAAAATATATAGATGAGACTCGTTTCTCGTATAATTTTTGTAATATTGGAGGCACTTGAGCTACCTAAAAACAATTATTTCTTAGCCAAACTTTTTATGCAGTGTTTCTATGTTATATGGAACAGATTTGAGGGGTAAGACTTTAAAAAATACAAATTTTATTTTTTTTAATTTTATAAGCTCCACCCTAATACGCAGTGGACTCCTTACCTAAGAACTAACTGATTGACTTATTGAAGAGAAAATTGTCCCAAGATGCAGCATAGTCATCAGTTTTGATTTCATCGGTATCATTGCCAACGGCAAACCTAAACTTCTTACAAAATCAATGCAACGATTTATTTCCTGCAGTTTTTTTGTCTAAGCAAGTTGACTGCCTTCGACAGATTGCCTTTTAGCATATTTGTCACATCAGCAGAATTGAGTGTATCACTAGAAGCTCGTGGGTTTGTTGTTCCAAAATTGGTGGCAGCAATTCACAATATGGTAGTCAAATACGCAAACACAATTAGAAAAACTGTAACATTTATGTTTAATAACCTCTGATTGCGAGGGATACAATTCAGTTTGACATTTGATGAATGGACGTCAATTAAAAATCACAGTTATTTTAATGTAAACATTCACAACAAGGACAAATTTTGAAGTCCTAGGTTAGCTAGAGTTTTTGGTTTAATGCCTGCTAAAAAATGTATTGATTTAGTTCAAAAAATGTTGATACAGTTTATGCTGAACTATGATAAACACATTGCGTGTATTACTATTGATAGAGCTTTCGTAGCAGAAAGTGGGATGTTTAAGTAATTGTGATCAATGGTTGTGCATTGTGAATGGCATTTAACTGGGTGTCTTTGTATGGTTTTTTGACATTTTGCACAAAAAAAAACTTATTAATAATAATTATTATTAATCTGCAATTACAAAAATAGCAATGAAGTGACAATGACACTTACAAAACCAATAATGATGAAGAAGACTTTTCCAAATTTTAGGTTGTAATAAAAGAGAAGGATGACTCTATTGAACTGACTGATTCATTGTGAAATGTTTTTGTCATTCTCTGTCAAAAAATGATCAAACACTTCAAAAATACACAGTAGATATGTTAAAGGCCTTCCACTAATCCTTAATTCCAAAACTCGCTGGAGAATTCTTTCCCTTTAACCAGTGTTTTTTCTGACAGCGATTCTCTTGACAACACTGTAATTGCTTGTCTGTAATTATTTGTCATTAAAAGAAAAGATTGACACGGCAATTTTGAATAAGATTTTCAACTTGTAAGAAAAGTCACTGTAATCATCTCTTGAGGATGATACTCTGAATACCATATTTTTCTTATGAGCATTTTTTACAAAGGAGAAAAAAGCAACAACAAAAAAAGTCTGCAATTTTGATATAAAATAAAAATTGAAATTTTTACTATTAACTTAAGATTTGATTCATATTATATAAAAAAATTTAATATTGGTATTATACCGGTATTGAAATTATTCAGTACCAAAATACTTTTATTAAAAAATATTATCGGTATTGATTTTTCATTATACTTTTAACATATCTATTGAATTTAACTAAAAGACAAACAATTCAATTTTCTGGAAAAACAAATTTATATAAAACTGATTTTATTTCATAAAGAAACATTAAAAACAAGAAAAATTTTATACCATTATTTCATCAATTAACTCTTTTCGTTTCTTGATATCTTTAACTGCTCTCATTTCCTTTTTTCGTTGATCTCTTTCTTTTTGTTTCTGGAAAACAATTTCTCATTTTAAAAAATTATCTTAATTGACAATGATATCTTAAATTTACTTATATACTTACAATTTGTACATAACATTTTTTTTTCAACTCTATCATTTTTAAATCATCCTTATCAATGTTTTCGAAATGTTAAGAATAACAAAATCTTAAAACTTAGACTGAATATGAAATATCAAATTTTTCAAAGAGTTAAATTTGCTTTTCATAAAAAAAAACTGAATAATCAACCATTAAATAAAAGATAAAGGTAAACGAAATAGCAACAATTGTTAAACTAAAATTTTAGCATGTTTAGCTTTCAGAAATAGTATAATAATAATAATAATAATAACAATAATAAAAGAAAAGAAAAATTGGCTAACATAGATAAACCTAGTATAAATAACCCTCAAAATTAGGGTCAGCATTCGGCAATGTTGACTTAACTGCTGACCTAAAAGTGTTTGAGGTCGGCAAATATTGCCGACCTTATATTGACCACGCTTCTATGTTTTATGGTAAGACTGTATCAATCTTTTTTGCCGACCTGATGCCGACCACTAAAAGATTGAGGTCGGCAAATTATTGCCGACCTCATTTTTCCTAATTCCGAGGGTTGTATAAAACAACAAGCCAAGAAACTTTTATAAATTGGTAAACCAAAATTTAAAAAAAATCAAACACACTTTAATAAAAGTAAAGTAGAAAAGATATTGCAAGACCTTTGTCACACCATTCAATGCATTCTTTATACTTTTCCAGATCAAAGCAACATATAGCACCACGAGTAATGGCTTTCTTATGTGAAGAATCAAACTTTAGAGCCCATGTAGCATCCTTAAGAGCACTGCCATTATTGCCTCAAAAAACAAATTGAATTTTTACTTAATTAATAATCTAAAAACCTGATTTTTTTTTTATTATTATTATTTTAATTAAATAAAAATTTAATCCTGAATATTTGTGATCTATTATATAAATATACTTTATGCGAGAATCTAACTAGTGTTATAGAATCAAGCATTATTAGAAATGAATTGCAGGAAACTCTAGATTTATACTTTATATGAATATAAAAACTTTTTGACAGTGTTCAGAAAGTTGTTAGAACTTATGTCAAGAATAAAACAGAACTTATCAAACTTATAATTGAAGAAAGAGGTATTGCTAATTTAAATTTAATAGTAAAAATATCAATTGAGATCAAACCTTTTTAAAGGTTATAAACAATTTGATAAATCTTTAAAAAGGTTTAATCTCAATGATCTAAAATAAAAAATTCTTTATCTGAAATATAATGATCAAGATCTTTAATTGTCCTAAGAACCTGGTGAAACTTCTCTTTTTGTTCTTCCCCTACATTTTTAAAATTTTTGGGAAATAGCCTTATTTTGATTTTATGATCACAAAAGACTTAACCCTTTACCTCCCTGAGACCTGAAAACTCAACAATACTGCGATAATAATTAGCAGTAAATAACTGAGTTTTGATTTGGTTAAAATTCATTAGCCACTGCAAAATCCAAAAACAGAAGAGAAATCAGATTCAAGGTTGACTGCCATTTCTAAAGATAGAAAAGATCAAGGCTAGATTATATAGTTACATCATCAGCAAATAGAACCACTTTATAAATAAAATTTTCAGGATGATCATTAATATTGGTAGCAACAACACAGGACCAAAGAACAATAGAATCTACCTGTAATAAAAGCTAACAAATAGTTTAAACAGCAACAAGTTGAAAAATAAGCTGTAGATTAAGAGAATCAAAATCCATGTTGATTGTCAGAGAGTAAGTTGTTAGGCTTAAAATGATATATTAAAAATTTGTAAAAAAGATTCAAAGACTTTGCTGATAGTAGTAAGAAGACTGATTGAGCGATAGTTAGAGGGGTGTGAGCAATCTCCAGAGTTAAAACTATTTTCTAGCAGGAAGAAAAACCTGATTCAGTTAAGCGCTTGTTAAATAGTTTAGAGAGTAATGAAGAGATTTATGTGACTTGTCACAATATGAAACTATCCAATATCATCAAAAACACAATTTAAATTCAGAAAAAGCTTTGCTTATTTTTTCAAAACCTGTAAAGATAATTTAAGTCATGCTTTTGTACGCCAATTCAGAACTGTTTAGAATAAATGTATAATTAAACCAGGAAGAAATGATTGCATATATAAATTTTTATTATTTTATTTATTTTAGATTGAGGGAGAGGGGAACAAAAACTGACGCCAAAAATTGATAGTTTGGCAAAAGGAGAGGGGGTTGAACATAAAATTATATGTTAGGGGCTTAGTTAAGGGCTACACGATCCTTAACACATAATGCTAAAACTGTAAAATCAAAATAATTTATATTTGTTAAATTATGCATAAAGCTCAAATAAATTTAAATAAAGAAAAAAAAATTAAAGCATTAAATTTAAAATTACCTAAATAAAAATGACAAGCTGCACGATTTGTGTAGAGAACAGCATATAGATTTTTATTTTCGTGTTTCTGTCGGAGCCCTTCACTATATGCAATAATGGCTTTTTTATATTCTTTTCTTTGAAAACAGTAGTTTCCATCATCTTTATGAGCTACAGCACATGCTAAAAATAATTAAATAAAAGTATAATTAATCACTAAAAAAAAAAAAAATTTTAACCTTTATAAAAACTATAGACAAAGTTTTTAAATGGAAAAAACCTTCAGGGTCATCACATTCATATTTTAATGCTTGAAGAGCTTGTAAAGCAGGTGAAGCATCTATGTCTTCCTGTGTGGGAGCCTCTTTAGAAAAAGCAGGAATCAGACGAAGTTGCTAAAAAACAGTAACACTATGCAGTATTTAATTACCTGAAGCAATATAAACCTTATTAAATCTTACATACCTCATCTAACCTGTCAGGATCTAAACCATCTTTATATTTAAATCCTTTATTTTTTTCCAAAATATTTTGAATATGCTGGTCGAGATCTTTGTCAAGTTTTTGAGCAAGTTCTTCACGAGACTTTACTTGGTCAGGAACATCCATGTTTGTTTCTCTTAATAAAAATCTTACTATTTGAGTAAATTATACATTACTAGTTTATTAAAATCAACTTAAGTTCATATACTGATATTGTCAATATTAACAGTCACATAACCATTTTGTATAAAATGCAAATGTAGACATCTGCACAAGAGGCAGGGCAAGTAACAAATTGAATTCATCTCTATTTTTGACTATTTAATAGTCAATATATATGACTATTTAACAGTCAATATATAGTCACTATAGGTTAAATTTGTCTCTAATAGACTATTAGAGATAAATTTAACCTATAGTGGCTATATAATGACTATTAAATAGTCATATATATTGACGGTATTAAATAGTCAAAAATAGAGATGAATTCAATCTGTTACTTGCCCTGCCTCTTGTGCAGTTGTCAATATTAACAGTCATGTAACTATTTTGTATAAAATGCAAATGTAGACATTATCAGTATATGAACTTAATTGATTGGTATTAGGCGAATCAAACTATTAGTTTGATTAGCCTCATACCAATCAATTTACAAAGTTGGCACTGAAAATGGCATTTTTAATGACAAGTCCCCTAAGTTACCCTAATTTTTCACAAAAACTTTGTTTATTTTTCCACAATACTTTCATCATTTAAGGCTTAAACTTACCATTAAAACTTCTCAAATTTGTAAATCATAAAAAAATCAAATTTGAAATTATATAATATAAAAAAAAATAAAAATGATAATAAAAAAAAAAATCAATAATAAAAAAAAATCAAATTTAGAAAAAAAAATGATTGCTTTTTGAATTTTTTTATTTTTTATTTTTTCAGGAAGAAAATAACTTTAACTATTATTTATTTAATATATACATATAATATGTATGTATACATATTATATGTATATATTAAATAAACATACATAGAAATTATATATTTTTATTAATATTAATTTACGCATGCTGGACACGACATTTCGAACCATGACATTTAAATCATATCCGTATAAGACCGAACGTTTAGGAACTTTTTGCCACTGCAAACTCAAACGCCACCACCCGTCACCGCTAACTCAACACCTGAGTGGTACTTCGGTACCAAAAATGTTTTTCAATAACACATGCTACGTTGGATGAGTCTTTATAGCTATTTGTGGCTGTTTCTATGCTAAGTCAACAATATAATCGTATATAAGAACGTTGTATAACAAAATATAGCTTGAAATTTAAATAAACAAAAAAATAAAATTGTCAGCAATGATCTGGGCCGTTTTCATTTCGAAATCCTTTAGTCTAGTTTTACATATCGCCATATGAATTAACCATACAAACAGTTGGATATTCGGAAATGATTTTTTTATAGTTTAAAAAATATAATTATAATAAGAGTATTTAACGTCAATACTCAGTCAATAATAAGAGTTGAATGAACGAAGGAGGATGCGTTGTAATAAACAGGATGATGGGAACTTCAGAGAAGCTTAAAACTTGTAAAAACATGAAAACTTAAGCAATATTAAAATTTTGCATGTTTTTATAGAAATTTTTGAAATTAATGTTAACTAATGACTCTAATGTTAGCAACCTATTCCTTCTCATTGTTCTTTTTATCTCGCAGCAGCAATTTTCGCTGTTTGAATTCGCTGTTTGTCAAGCTCTGCATCTATTAAAGAAAGAAAAAGAATTTTGCAAACTTTGAGAAAAAAAATTTCTTTTGTCAAAAAAGTTAAATACGCAGACCTTAAGAAATGTATTTAAACCGACCATAATTGAACCTACAATAGTTAGGTGAGCTTGTCCCTCCGAGATAGACTCCAAATGTTCAGCTTAAGTTAAGAAAATTAGCCTGTCTGGCTCGTTGGTTTTAATTAAGTCCAAGATGGACTTTGGTTCTTGTACACGTGAGTTTCAAAAGGTTGGGAAAGTGACAAGTTGCATAAGAAGGTTTTCCTCTAAACAAGACTTGAACTGAATGACGGGTAAGGTGTTGATCAGTAGTTGACTGCTGTCGAAACACCTCCTCCAAAGTTAATACTTTCATAGCTAATAATGTCTAAAATTAAGGTCACCATAAAGTAATAAAGAGTCGCAACCGATTGTTTTGAGAGCCTCTGCAGCAGCCTAATTTGATTTGGTAAGTTCTAAGAGTGCTAGTTCGTCATTGTTTGGCAACAGTAATAACAAACAATGAACCTCAAATAACTTCTCGATTATTGTGGAGCAAGGCAAATACTTTTATCTCGAATTATATTAGTAATAATGACTGGGAGACATTATTTAAAAATATATCTGAGGGTGAAAAATACAAAGTTTTAATTGACAAGTATAATAAAGCTACTTCATTCTACATACCAAGTACCACAAAATCATACCAGCCAAATAAAAATCCATGAGTTACTAGTGATGTCATAGAAGCCGTAAAAAAAAGAGTAAATTCTGGGGTAAATATGTGTCTGCAGGACCTGGATCACACCAACTTGTTAGAGCAAAGCAGCAAAAACCGTCACAAAAGTGGTGAAAAAAGCAAAACTCGATTACGAAGATGCACTAAATTCTTCGTTTAAACATAACCCGAAGAGATTCAATTCTTATGTCAAAAGCAAAATCAAAGTTTACGATAAAATCCATTTACTTAAAGACAGCAATTGATTGGTGACCGATAACATTTTTAACATATGTAAGACACTCAATGAATATTTTTATAGTGTGTTTGAAGTAGAGCTGCAAGAACCGCTACTAATTTATTAAACCGATCTCCAACCACTTGCGATATAAAAATTGAATTCATCACTTATAAAATAGTCGAAAACAGATTGCTGAAACTTGATCCTTCAAAGGTAATAGGTCCTGATGGAATCCATCACAAAGTCTTAAAAAACTACGCAGATTCTTTTCCTGTCCCTTCAACCATGTTAAGTCTTCTATTTTAACATCCTTTGTTCCAGATCAATGGAGAAAAGCAGAGGTAACACCTATATTTTGAAGCATTATGAAAAACGTATTTTTTTCACTGATCGAGTAGTTAAAAACTGCAGCTCCTTATGAACTACCACAGTAAACGCACTATTCAAGCTCCTTATGAACTATTCAACTGTTTTTATTTTAGATTTTAATACTACAGCTTATTCACACTTTTCAATTTGGTGCAGCTATAATTGCGAATGTTGTCAGAGACGAGGGGTCCTTGTTTGCCTCTCTCCGTTAATAATTAAAATATGCTTTAAATTCTTACCACGAACTGTTTTTACTGTACATAATTTCAATAAATTTGTAAATAATAAATAATGATAACTGAAAAAATAGATAAAAAATAAAAAACAGAGTTTATTTTCCTTGTTCAACAACTTACTCCTAAGTGCCAAATTAAATCGGCTGCTGCTTTGAACAAAATTAAGTAATAATAGTTTCAACCTGACATACTGCAAAGTAATGAGCCTGAAATTGACATTGACGATGAATGTGAACAAGATTTTCTATTAATTAATGAATTTTATTCCGAAAAGATTTTTCTTTTTGCTATGAGATTATTTTTTAACTTAAAACAGTATTGAATGTTAACATTTATTGAACATTTTGACAGTGACTATTCAAACTCTGTAAAAAAGGAAAAAGGTATGCAAATCAAGGCTTTATTTTTTTCATGTTACTAATTGAATTTATTATTTTTGTTGTAAACTCTCTAAAATAAAGTCCATTCTCAAAATATGGACTTTTTGACTGAAAAAATTCGGATTCCTGGAACTAGTTCTTTATTTGATGAACAAAGCTTTTTTTTTTTTTTGTTTTTTTTTTGTTTTTTGTTTTTGTTCTTTATTACAATATTCCTGATACAGATACAAATAATTTAAAAAAGAAAAAAGAAAAGGTAACAACTCAAGATATCGTTAAGTAATAAAGAATAAAAATAATTATAAAGAACGCGGATACTCATAGAAGACCATCAGGCCTTGTCACAGAGAAACCGCTATTGAACGTTTTTTTTTTAAAACTTTTAATTTATTTATTTTTCAATGTTTTCATTCATTATATTTATTTATTTTTGTTCAATTTCTTTTTATTACAAAATTAAATTTTATAATAAAAGTATATAAAGTTCGTAATATAATATTATAAATAAACATACAATATTACAATATAAGAGTTCTAAAACGTAAAAACTGAAACATGTTAAATAGTTCATTAAAATAAAAGATGTTAAATTATTGCTTGTTGATAAAAAATAAATAAATAAAAAAGAATGTAGATTAAATATATACATATACTAATATAGATAAGGGATTTTCAAAAATTTAAAAGTAGATTAGTATATTTTCAGTTGAAAAAATGAGTTTTTTAAGATTTTGTTTAAAAGAATCAAAATTACATTCTTGAGAAAAATCTTTAGAAGTATTTAGAACTATACTATTCCATAAAAATGGTCCGCGAAACGAAATAAAAAATTTTCCAAAATTAGTTTGAGAAAATGGTTGTTGAATTAAGTTATCGTTCCTTAGAATATATTTATTTCTATCTTTTTGTAAATACAAGTTACGAAAAGAAACGGGTGATAGGTGGGTCTTGCATTTATACATAAAACAAAGAATATTAAAAACATTCAACTCATATATATTGAGTGCTTTCATATCATATAAAAGAGGCTTGACGTGAGCAAAACGGTCCTTAAAATTTATAATGTGTGCTACATGCTTCTGTTGCCGATAGAGAGGTTTAAGTTTACTTTTATAAGTGCTACCCCAAGCAATGTTTGCATAGTTGATATGGCAATGATATAACGAATAATATAATTGAATTAAGGTATTTTTATCAAGAACGTTTCTTATTTTGTATAGTATGCCTATACTCTTTGAAATTTTACTGCACAAGTTAGCAATGTGGCATTTCCATGTAAGATTTTCATTCATATATACACCTAAAAATCTTGTCACTAAAACTCTATTAATAACTATGTTATCGATAAATAGAAAAGGTAAGTTGCTAGACAGCTGGTGCTTTTTACCATAAGGATGAAAAAGAATCCATTTAGTTTTATCAATACTTAGTGAGAGTTTGTTTAATCTAAACCATTCGGAAATTTTGACTTGTTC